CAGAACCAGCAGCACCTCCAGATCCGAGTGAAGGAGCAGCAGGCTTCTCATCAGGACAAGATGACTGTCTCCTGAGACCTTCATCCCTGGTGGGCACTTGAAGGTGTAGTAAAGAGGGATCAATTAGAGTCAAAGGGAACTTGTCTTCCTGCTTACTTTCTCCTCATTGCCTTTCCTCATCATTTTTTATGCTAAATTGCAGCTATATGATAACACTTAGTTATGCTGTTTGTTTGTTTGTTTGTTTGTTTATTTATTTATTTATTCTTGGTACTAGGGATTGAACTCAGGACCTTGCACTTTCTGAGCAGGTGCTGTGCCACTGAGCTGTATCTCTGGCCCTGCTCAGTTTTTAAAGCACTGTGATTATAACTCTTGAGAATGCTTTTTCGTAATAGAGATCCATCTTTTGGGTTCAGATACCTGAAGCTGCCCAGTGATCCTGTGCTTAGAGGATCTATGTTTAAAGAAAGAGCTGAAGGTTAGGAAAGCCACCACTCAGAGAAAAGAGGCAACCTCCCACCTGGTGTTAGCAGAACAGTAGGAGGCAGAACAAATGTGGAACCATTTTCTAAAATTAAATTTAGTATTCCCCAACTATGCTTCCACAACTGCCTGAATTCGTAACTCATATTTTACTCCTTATCTTAAAACTTTTATTTTTCCTTAAACTGCTATTCACATTTCTATTTTAATTATTTTAATGGGTTTAAGTTATGTTTTCAGAATTCAGTCTCACGTGTAGAGAGTAGATCAGTGCACACAAGATAGACTGGGTAGATCTGTGAGTGCAGTACTCTTAATGGCTGTCTAGGAAATAACCACTGAGGATTATTAAACAACATAGCTAAAATTCCTGTGAAATAACACAGGAGGCACAAAATAATATTATGAAGTTTAAGTAGAATTAACACAACTCCATCTCTGTCAGGTAACACAGAATACAAAAAATCTCTCTTCTCTATTATGTTTAATTACTACTTACCAAGAGTCTTACTATTAAAGGCTCTTTAAACAAGCTATGTAAGTCCTCTTAATTTTATCTCTCTATCTCTGGTATATATTTCTTGTTTTTAACAGATAAAAATAAGGTTAACAGTGTTTTAAGGTGTATTCCAAACATCATAGAGCTTGCATTTCAATTTCAGTCCATCTGCATTTAAAATTTACACTCACTTATAGCTAAATATGAGTCTTCTTGTTAGCAAATGTTACATCATATTTTTTTTACCTTTCTGTCCTTCTATTCTCAAAAATTAGGTTTGTGAGTCCTCTAATTTTCATACAAGCACAGTGAGTCCTCTCATTTGTCCAATTTCTAGGATGTTTCTTTTTTTGTCTTTGTCATTTTAATTAAAATGTATGCTTTCACAACCCCTATTCTAGTATGCTCCAAGCCTTTATCTCCATTATGTGCTGACTATTTTGTCAATGTCTATGTTCTGTCAAATGTCTTACTCTATAACTGCAAATCTCATGCCTATTTTATTCATTACTATGTCTTATTTAGCTAGCATTGGGCTTTATAAATAGAAAAATGTCAACAAATATTTGGTGGTACTCTAATGGCTGGTTTTCTGACTCAGTTGTGTTCTGACACTATCAGTATTTAAAATGTTGAATAATAAACTATGAATTATGTGAAATATCAAAATGATATGAAAAGTAACACAATTTATATTAATGATGTCATTACCATATTAAACAGAAGCTGATAAGGGGCTAGGGATTTAGCTCAGCAGCACAGTGCCTGCCTGGCAAGTGTGAGATCAAGAGTTTGACTCTTGGTACCGGAAAAAAACAAACAAACAAACAAAAAAATGATAGAAGAATGGGATTATCACTGAGTCTGATGTTTAGAGAAGGTATTAGGAAAAGTGTACGGAACAAACAAACATCTAAAGTATGTGAGTGTCACAGGGCAAGAGAGGAGTACAGTAAACATCTCAAAGAAAACCATGTGAAAATATAAGTGGCTGTGGTTATGTCTTTAACATGTAAAACAATCCAAAACAGAAAGAGGTGTTCCCATCAGAGTAATTTTAAATAAAATGGAATTGTATCTTGGAAGCATCTTGACAAATATATGATAAAAGATAGAGTGTAAGTTTTCTCTTACTGAGTGTGGGCTGGACTCAGTGACTTCTAATTGCAAGCAAAGGAAAACAGGAGCAATAGTACATAACGCTGCAGGTTTTCTATTGGAAGGCTCTGCACAGCAGTGCTTGGACTCCCCAGTGAATCACTCACGATGACGTCAGCAGCTGCTGTGATGCGAGGACACACAGGAGGCTGAAAGAGAGGTCTCTGCAGGGAGAGAGGAACTGAGGCCTCCTGCTAACAGCCCTGCCCTGAGCACCTTGCCAGCAGATTCTGCTTCACATCACTGCCTCCCTGGGGATCAGAGTGACCTTTCACATTTTTTTACTATTTTAAAGAGATTTTTAAAAACAGTAAAAACAATGCAGAATTTTAAAACAAAGATGATAAGAAATTAACAATGGTTGTTATACTGTGTATTATTATCTTCAAAGTTTTTGTCTTTGTATGACTCTTATTTAGCAAGAACTCTACATTTAGAAACCAGTTAGATGTAGTGTTTTAAGTGAGTTGGGAAATCAGTGACCGAATGAATACATGGAATTGCCATGGTGTAGAAAGGAGCCAAACGTATCGTTTTCCTGTCCATTTCTGTTACTGTTGCCCAGACTACGGTCCTACTTCTACCCAAGCCATCACTATGGTCTACATGCAGTTACTCAACCTCTCTGTGCCTCAGGTCTCTCATGTATAATTAAGGACAGTAACCACATCCAGCTAATGGACATACAGTTTAGATTCAATTAGTTAGCATATTAAAATTAGTTATAACAGTGAACAATACACATAAAGGAGGATATAAAGACAGCTACTGTTACACAGGATGTATGATACTACAGTTTTTATAAAGTAGGAAGCCACAGAAAAGGCTAAGGCCACTGTTACAGGTTCAGATATCATGGATATAAATATTTCCTTCTTCTCATGTTCTTTGTTAGTGAAAAGAATGTATCATAGGATCTGCCTTGTACAATTCTGTGAATAGCTCAGTCAATACAGTAAGGTATTTTGAACATTGTCATACATGTAATAAATAGATTTTAAATGTCAGTTCTTATTGTACATATTTAAGTAGATGACTAGATATTTGGACCACTGAAATGAATTTGATTGATAGTTGAAATATTCAAAAATAGAATTGTCTTGTCTTCAATTACTTACAAATATATTACATTTTCAAGAAATGGGCAGTACCTAGACAAGATAGAGAATTTTTTCATTGATGGTTTTCCTCTGAAAACTTACAAAATCTATTCTCTTATTTTCTACAAAAAGATTAATACCCATCCTCCCTCTTGATGCATAATAGATGAAGGTAAACATCAGACTTTTAGGATAGACACAGGAAATCAAATCCAATACGACTTATTTTGTAAGAGGACAATAAGTTTAATGTCGAAGAAATTACAAACTGAATATTACTCAGATAGAAAAACAAAGTGGAATGGCATTTGCTCAGGGAAGCCTTAAATCAGATCCCAGGCACACTCACAGCTGAATTCTGACTGAGCTATTGTACAAACTAGCCAAGGTTCATACTGACCTAGTGTGTTGAGGTGAACAGTGACTTCTGGAATGAAATCACGAGCCTTTGTGCAGGTTTGTAAAACCATCCTGTAACTGCAATCAAGTTAAGGTCATTATGTCTCATTTTAGGTACCTTATTTTCCATGAACTTCATCCTGCAAATTGGCCCCTGAAACATTATCCGCTTATTTAACCTTTGTTCCCTCACCTTGCATTAGTTTTGTGGAGCCTGGAACATTGGATTGTCTTCAGACACTGTGAAAGAGTGGACAAACAACGTACTAATATTTTTCTTTAAAGTGGAATAATGTTTAACTTACATGGAAATAATGTGTTTATCTAAAATTTTAGGGACTGTCAGGATACAAAAGTTGTTTGTCATCTCAAGAATATTCTGGCAGAAGAAAAAAAGAGAAAAAGAAAACAGGCTACAGATGACAAAAACCCACTCAGCATACCACCTTCCTGCCCGCTACCTTTTTTTCTCCCCATAACAGCCCTCTTCATGTACATGAGTTCCAGAAGCTGGTCTCCTTTTGGGAGCAGTGTGAATCTTCTCAGCAGTCAGTGCTTGAATAATGCATTTTCTTCCCACCAATGCTTATCTCTTAAGTATTGGCTTCTGAGCTCTGAGCAGTCTACCAGGACTGGCCGCATTCTCATTTGCTTCCCTGGATGCACTAATCCATTTATTATAAGGCAATTTTAAACTCTGCCACATCATTCACAATTCCTTATAAAGAAATACTGTACTTAACCCCTGAAACTCCCTTGCACTTTCAGAGCAGGGAGCACCTTGGAAGGCAATGGTGCACACCTTCATGGCTGTTTGAATCGGGCATCACCAATGAGAATCTTTCTTGGTTTCTGTAGAGAGTTTAAGGACATATTTACCAAACTGCACTTCTGTTTTCAAACTGCACTTCTGTTTTCAAACTTCATACATCATCATACACTAAAAACAAGCTTTATTGAATGACCCAAAGTGATACTATAGTAAACAGAGAAATGTATAAATTTTCAAAGCAAGAAAGTAGAGAAGGAGAAAGAAGATAGTCTATGGTCTCCAAAATATTGCAGATCTATGATAGTAAATCTAAAGGGAATTGCAACAAGAACACATTGTGTGGAGTGGAAGAGGTACGTTGTTTTGTCAAATTACAAAAATGAGAAAATTCTGGGTTAATACAAAACACCTTCCTTGAAGATGTAAATCTATTGCCATTACAGAACTCTCTGGTCATTAATATTATAACTCCCCAAAAATGAGAGATATTAACTTTGCGTAGTTCAGCATTTGACAACCATACTCTTGCAGGAATGGATCTGAAGCAAGTCTCCAAATAATTTGAGAGAGGAATTGTTCCTATTCCTTATACCCTAGAAGGGTGGGCAGTTTCAACTAACACCTTCCTCAGGGCCAATTTCACATCTTTGTTTCTCAAGGAATAAATCAAAGGATTCAGGCAAGGAGTGATGACATTATTTAATACTTGAACTACTGCATCCATCCAAGGGCTGGAAGCTGGCCTAAGATAGACGAGAATTACAGGCCCATAGAAGAAGAGGATTGAAGTTAGGTGGGCACTGCAAGTGGAGAAGGCTCTGCGCCTGCCTTCTGAGGAACGGATTTTCAATATGGACAAAACAATGCGAGTATAAGATGTGAGGACAAGAAGGAAACATGTCAGTGAGACAACACCCACATTGGTTAAACTCACCATCTGTGCTATCGAGATATCTGCACAAGCCAGGGGAAGCACCACTGGGATATCACAGAAAAAGCTGTCCACCTCATTGGGGCCACAGTAAGGTAACCTGAAGATAAGAAATGTGAGGATACACCCATGGACACAGCCCCCCAGCCAAGTGCCCACTGTCAGGCCAGAGCACACCCTATGGTTCATAATGACCGTGTATCGCATGGGGTGACAAATGGCCACAAAGCGGTCATAGGCCATCACGGTGTACAGGAAGCACTCGGTGCAGCCCAGGAAGTGGTAGAAGAAGACCTGAGAAGCACAGCCCTGGTAAGAGATTGTGCGGCTTTGACCCACTAGCAAGACCAACATCTTGGGGGAATTCACAGAAGGGAAAAATATATCAAACACAGACAGATTTGCCAGGAAGAAATACATGGGGGTGTGGAGGGTGGAGGAAGCCAGAATGGTGAGGAAGATGATGAGATTTCCCAGCAGAGTGAAAACATAGAAGGTCAGGAATAGACCAAACATCATGGTCTCCAGCCCTTCTGTATGAGAAATTCCCAGCAGAACAAACTCTGTCACAGGGGTGGAGTTCCCAGCCTTCATGTGTCAGGTTGTCCTGAAAAACAAAGCAATATTCATGAAGTAAGACCAAAGAAAGCGAGAATACCTTCCTGACAAAATGACTTTTATTTAAGTCAGTGGCTCCCTGCAAATTGAGGAGATACAGGGACCTGTAACGAATGTGCCATTCAGGTTAAATTTAGAAGTGTATGATATTTGACCCCACTTTTAAAAAATGCTACATGAGGAAACAGAATAATTTGTGATTAGCAAACGTCTTTCAGTTGGCCGCTCTTGTTACTAATTATATTCACACTTTTCAAATATCTAGTTTATCATCAAACAACCTGGCTTATTTGAGAGCCATCTATCTGCCTCATGAAAAGTTTATAAGGTGTTAATCTCATAATATCAACTCAGGTATAGTTTATTTATAATTTATGTGAATGACCCATATACATGCATACAAAAATTGAACATAAAGGCACATGATATAATCCATTCTGTTCACTGTTACTTTCAACAATATCCTTTCCATTCTTCCTCACTTTTATTCAAAAAAAAGATAACAATTCATGTTTCACTTTGCTTTCACACACAGAAACCAAAGATCAAAGGACAGTAGAAGGCATTTACACAGATGGTAGAAATAACTATAGGTCCTCCTTAGCAATTCTCTTTCCTGGGTAGAATTTATTCTCTATGTTATGAATCCCATGAATTCTATTAATTAACATCAGTACCAAATGATCTAAGAAAAAGCAGAATTATACTTGCTAAAACCCTGATTACTGCTTTGCATTTTATCTTAGTAAGCCCTATGTTGCCAATAGTTATAACTAATTCTCCTCTGCTTTGATTAATATATGTTCAATGAAAACAATGGATAAATCTATTTATACTACTTTATCGATGGCTGCTCTGGTAATAGTCCCTGTATGATTCCAATGTTTGCAAAGGGAAAGGATCGTGCCATGGATAAAAATCTCAGTAAGTGGAATAAGAAGCAAGAACTGAGGTGAAGGCAGCAGTGGCTCTTCATAATGCTCCTGTCTTCAGTCCCGTAGCCAGGCCCCACACAAGCTTAGGCTTCCTCCAAGTGTTTGAACAGACTGACATCCGGGAAAGATATACACAGGAAGTCAAACACATGTCTTGCCTAAAATCTAATTAGACATTGATTTAGGCCATGGAAATCAATATAATTTCACACACATTTTCTCTTTGTCTGCTAGAGAAATTAAGATAAATAAAATACAGTTCCATTCCTTAAAGAACTTACTCTGGAGGTATACAAAACTGATTTTGAAGCCTACCCTGAGTCTGCTGTGTACTACCTCTAGCACCATGAGCAAATGAACCTCTCTGAGCTTTACTTCCTTAAAAATATGGATATTGTTTGGCTATAGGGGTTTTGTGAGGGTTATGGCACCTTATGGAAATAGAATACTATATCACTGCCTGGCATTGAGTATTAAATATGTAACAAAGGCAGTTCAGCAATTAAAACTCATATAACATTTATTTGAGTTATAATGTAATTACAAAAAAATTTGAAATGTGGTAAAGATATTATTTAAAGGGACTTTAAAGAAAATGTAAGATTTCAAGATTTATTTGACATAAATATTACATATTTATAGAATCTATATGATTTAAAAGTCATAGCAAGACACATGTGTCAGGAAAAAGTTATTTTCTTGAGACTCTATGTGGTTCATTATATAAATATTCTGACAGAATTAGAGGATTATTTGATAGGCTGAAAGTGCAGAAATTCCACCCTTCTATCAGAAAATTTGTTTCTATCAGTCAACAACTTCATGCTGCTAAATGATAAAGGTGTTTGGCACTTATTGGCCCCAGGAAAAGTATAAATATTACAAATTACCTTAGATATGCAATCAGTGATCTCACTAACCCAGTGAATACCAATTTTCCAGAAAGATTTGCCATAAAAAAGGAAAAAAGTTGAAAACCAGGTCTCACCTCCACATAAAGACTGTCATTTGGGAAAGCAGTAAATTTATACCATAGAAAATTTCGAGTAAAATCTATGGGATCATCTTTCAATGAAATAGAAGAGGGAAGCATTCTCTTTTAAGGAGGGTAAACTAAATATATTCTTCTAATTTTGAATTCTAAACTGCATATTACTAGCTTTTCAGAAATTTTTAAATTGACTATCACCACTTCCCCTGATATTTGCTAATTTCTTCTCTGTTTGGAGAGAATGGAAGTATATACCTCTGTTAAAGAAATTGTTCTTGTGCGTGAATAGATATTAAGTGGAGATGACTTCCAATCTGTACACTAACTAAAACGTAAAAGTCCTGAAGAAAGACTCTATCTTCTTCCATATAACCCACCTTCCCGCACAAATCATTCTACACACACACACATGCACATGCACACACACGCACACATGCTTATCCCCAGCACTCTTGCCTTTTTCTGCTCTGTTGGTGCTGGCTTATTAAAAGATGCCATTTGGGGCCACATGTAAAGTTTTCATTTCTGTGGTTTTCTTCCTTCCCTTGGTTGAGCAGTGAAGTGGCCAGGAATAAGAGTAGAACAGAGAGGGGCAAAGGAAAGAGCAACATAAGAAGAACGCAAAGTTACAGAGGCAGACAGAGCTTTAGACAGAAACAAGCTGATGGAAATTAAATCTAATGTGGGTAGACAGACTTTTTGTAAAGTTTTTAGACAAAAAGAATGTGTTCCTAAAGCCAGACTGTGTTTTGTATAAGATGCCACAGCATAGAACCAAGGTTTTGTACCTTCTCCTCTTGAATCCAAGACACAGATTCCACACTCAGTCCTGCTATTAATTTTGTCTTAAAATTCTCAGTTTTTAATGTTTTCAACTGAAGAGTATCAACGGACCTGGTTTCTTTTGAGACAAATCTCCCCTGTGGCCCAATCCTCAGACTCAGAGGCATGATAGAGCAAAGGGAGTAATTAGAAACTTTCATACTCTCCTGAGCTCGATTCCATTCTGTCCCTCATTATTTTATGATCTGGCATATTTATTATGGAAGTAATATGAAAATTTAAAATTCATTTGGTAAATATTTGAAAACAAAGAAAAAAATCCATTCCTCCTCAGTCTTAACTAATTTTCTTTGCAATCTTTCCATAACAGCTTTGATATATTTTATCATATATATATAGTTTAACTGAATATTTATTAATATTTTTCCAATATACTTTCCATATTGTTCAATTGTTCCAACTATCCTACTTTACTATAGCATTTGATCTACACTTCATATATGCCCACTTCTCTCAACCATATTTATTTTGGGGAATGTTTAATTATTTTTAAGTTTTATTTGTATTTGTCAAATAAGCAACTACAGGTAGAGAGAAGTAGGTAGGTAGATAGGTGATAGATAGAAGATAGGTAGATAGATAGACAGATGATAGATGATAGATGAAATTTACTATGAAATTTACTATTTCATATAGATAGATGAAATTACTATTCCCATATAGAGGCTATATGGGAAGAATAGCCTCTTCTTCCCAAAGTTGGCTATTCTTTTTAAGACTTTCTAAGGTTCACCAAAAAAGAAATGCTATAAAACTAACTAATACTACAGCTTTTTACAGCTTTGAAGTAGTATTCCAACTACTTTAGCACCTGTGCTTGCAAGGATCAATTTTACCATAATTGTGTATTAACATGTTCACAAATATTAAAAGTATTTTCACAAACTGACTACAAACTATTTCTTAATGTTCACTTTTTGTTTTGTCTCAGGTTATACATATTCAAAATTTCTATTTATTATTATATAGCAACTAAAACCATGGACAGTTGGCATAGATAAGCCAAATGTAATAGAATAGAGAACATAAAATATTATGTATAGATATCTAGTCAATTCAAAAGTAACACAAAGATCCATTGAAATTATTTTTCATCAAATTTGGATAACATTCAGGTCATCAAAGAAAAAAATTAATCATTGAGTAGCATACACACAATCAAAATCAAGTTTAAAGATATTAAACTCCATTCTGTATGGGAAAGAACATAATTTTCCAAATTCGATACAGGGAAATCTTTCTGACACAGATATAGAAAGTTATAGCTGTAAAGACAAGATTGTAAGGGAATTTTGAGTACTTTAATGTTGAGAATATTATTAAAAAAGTAAAAAAGAAAAAGAGAAAGAGACATTACCTGTAGCAAACATTACTATCAAGGATTCATAAATAAAAAAGATAAGCAACTCTTAAATTTTATGTTAAGAAAATGACCTAACATGAATGTAAGCAAATGCTGTAGTTTAGATCTAAAATTGCTGTCAAAAGGCCAGATGTGGAAGTCTTGGGCTCAGCCCTCAGCACTATTGGGCGTTGTTAGAACTTGAGGAAGCATAGCCTAATGGATGGAAATGAGGTCTTTGTGCAGGTGTCCTGGAAGAGGATATTGTGGCCCTGGCCCCTGCCTCCTTTTCTTTGCTTCTTGGCCACCAGAAAGTGGTATTCTAACACAGTGTTCTACCTCTCCGTAGGCCCAAAACCAACAGAGCCATCTGACCACACACAGAAACCTCTGAAACTGTGAGTTGAAACCTCTGATGCCCCTGTTTTGAGTTGGTCAACAAATGTGCGTCGTCTGGACACTGGGGTTACTAAGATCTATAAAAATAAATGCAAAATTCATTGATTTGTTCTCTTCTGCTCAGGTGTTATGGCTTGTATCTAAAGGTTTCCCCAAAGCTTCATGTACTCATAGGTAAACTTTTTGAGAGGTGGCTAGATCATGGGTGTGTGACCGGTACTAAGGGTCAGTGACACTGAATTAGTCCACTAACTGGTTTGTCATAGTTCTAGATGTGGATAATGGGAAGACCCACCTTGGCTGTAACACCATGCAAAAGGCTTGTAGCCTGGATGGAATAACCAGAAAAGGAATGATAATTGCCTTCCGTCTGCCCTACCACAGACTGTTCCTCCTCTGTGATGCCCTCTGTAATACCGCCCTGCCTTGGAGCCAGCAAACTATGGAATGAAACTTCTATAAGCTG